AGCAACTAAAATAAATAGACATCTCAGAAGAAGAAATGCAAATGGCCAATAAATGCGTGAAAATGTCTTCAGTTTCTCTGGACATTAGAAAAATCCCAAGTAAAACAACACAGATTTTTCCCATTTTATAACTTTTCCCTTTACTGTGTTGTTTTGTTTGCTGTGAAGGACACTTTACATTTGCTATGATCCTATTTGTTGACTGCTGTTGTTATTTCTTATGTAGTTGGGTTTCTGTTGCATGGGGATATCTAACCAGTTTTCCCAGAACCATTTGTCAAAGAGGCTATTTTTCCTCTAGCACATACTTTGGTCACCTTTGTCGAAGATGAGGTATCTGAATACATCTTGGCGCTGTTTTTGTACCTTTTGTTCTATTTCATTGATCCACATGTTGATTTCTGTGTCAACAGCTTGCTTTCTTATCACTGTAGCTTTGTAATATAACTTGAACTCAGGTATTATGATGTTTACTGATTTGCCTAGGACTGGTTTTGCTAATCTGTGTGTCTGTCTCCATATGAATTTTAGGATTGTTTCCTGTAGTTCTGTGAGGAATCTGTAGATATTGTAATTAGGATTGCATTAAATCTATATATCAGTTATGGAAGTGGTAATTTTGACTGTATTCTTTGGCCTATCCAGAAAAAGAGATATATTTCCATTTTGTGATGTTCTTCCTATTCAATCTCCTTTTTCAGAGCACTGTAGATTTCATTTTAAAAGGCTCTCATTTTCTAGGTTAGGTTAACTCCTATATATTTAAATTTTTCTCAACTGTATTGTGCAAAGTATTGTTTTCATAATATTTAATCTCATTCAGTTCATCATTGTTGTACAGGAATGCTGATTTTTTGTTTTCTATGCTTGTAAATTGCTCAATTTGATTATTAGTTCTAGAAGTATTTGTTGGATTTTTTTGGGTATTCTTGTAAAGGACCATGTCTTCTTCAAATATTGATAATTTGATTTCTTTCTATCATTTACATATCTCTTGTGTTTCCTGCGTTTGCCTCATTTATCAGGATAGTATTAAAGTACCCTATTGAGGGGGCTGGTGAGATGGCTCAGTGGTCTAAAGCACCTACTTAGAACAAGCTTAGCAAAGCACATGGACAGCGGTTCAATGCCCCAGCACCACATGCCGGCCAGCCCCGCCCCCTGGTGGGCGGAGCTGGCCACACACACGCATATAAAATTTAAAAATAAAAATAAAAAAAGTACCCTATTGAAGAGAAGTAGGGGGCAACCTTCTCTTGTTCCTGGCTTTCTGGGAAAAGTTTTCAGATTCTCTTCATTTTATATGGCTTTGGCTATATTTTTTTCTGTATATTTTAGGGAAGGGTCTACAGGGTGATCAGTGTGTCACTACTAGATCAGACTTGTAGTGATCCGCCTGTTTAGAGCCTCCCAAGAGTTGGGATTGCAGGGGCACACCACCACGCCCTGTCTCAATTGCCATCTCAGTATGCCCTGGGGGTGAGGCTGGCAGGGAAGGCCCAGGGATGGAAGCCCTGGCCCCTGCACCTGCTTGCAGGTTTGGCTATTGTTTTGTCATGAATGTCTTTGATAAAATTGAGGGAAGGTCCTTCTATACCTAGTTCCTTAAGGTTTCTTTTATAATTACTAAAGGTTAGTGGATTGGTAAATAGATTCCTGTATCAACTGTTATAATCATGTGGGGTTTTTTGTACTTAATTTGCATATGTTGGACCATCCTTGTATACCTTGAGTGAAACCTTGTCATGATTTAGGATCCTTTTGACTATTTGTTTCATGCTATTTGTCAATATCTTTTTGAGGATTTTTCCACCTGTGTTCATTAAAGATATTGATATGTAGTTTTCTTTTTTGCACCTTAGTTTGCTTTGGAGGTGAAAGTGATGCCTGCTTTTAGGAATGACTTTGGAAATACTCCTTCCTTTCCAATTTCATTCAAGATTTTGAGGAGTATGGATTTTATAACCTTCTTGCAGATATTGTTGAATTGAGCAGTGAATCAATTGGGTCATGGGGTTGTTCTTAGTTTGTAAGATTTTTATTATTAATCCAACTTTGTTTCTGGTTATTATAAGGTTCATAATTTTTATGTTTTCTTGGCCAAGCTTTATGAATATATGTATTTAGCAATCTGTCCAGTTTTTAAAGAATTTTCAATATGTTGAGGTATAATTTTGCATAGTATTTTAGTTACTCATGTTCTTCTGGAGTTGGGTGGTGACTGCAGTAATTTAGATGTTATCACTTCTTATATTGCTGTGAAATTTTCTCTCCTCCTTTTGGTGATTTGGCCAATTAAGTTGGGTAAATTGGCTAAAACTACTCAACTTATTCTTTGAAAGAACCTACTCATCAATTTGTTCAATTTTTAAACTGTAATTTTAGTCTCAAATGCATTAATTCCCTCAATGATCTTTTGATTTCCCTACTTAAAATATGTTTGCTTTTGGATTATTATCTTTTTAATGACTTGAAGTTCATCACTGGTTATATATTGAAGCTCACTATGCTTTTCTCATGTGACCATGGACTACTATAAATATTTCCTCTTTGGACACCTTTCATTGTGTGCTATATGTTCTGGTGTGTTATACTGGCATTATCATTTCAGCACAAAAAATGATTTTTTGTAGATTTATACTAGGAAGCACTGAGTGTGCAGGAGTGCATCTTTAAGTTTCTAATTGTTTATATATTTTTTGCGCTTTGTTTTATGATTAATTTCTAGTTCCAATGCATAAGGATCTGTGAGTATACATGGGTTATTTCAATTCATCTGTATATATTTAAGAAAACTTAATGTATTAGTATGTGGTCTATTGTGTTGAAAGTTCTCTGTGCTTCTGAGAAGAATGTGTTCTATTGCAGTAGTATAGAACACTGTATAGATTCACTTAAGTCCATTTGCTCAAGTGAATATTTCAATTCTAATAATTCTTTACTGTTTGTTTAGTTTTTTGCTTTCTTGTTATTTTTATGGTCACTCAGTATGATTGTATTGGTGTTTTTGGACCTTTTATATCTGAGAACATTAGGTTCATGACTTGAAGTTATCCAATTTTTGGTTCATATGTGTACACTTATTATCTTTTCCTGTTTGATTGTTGCCTTAGCTAATATGTACTAAAGTGTTATTCCTCTACTGATCAGTTTCTTCTTGAAGTTTTCTTTCACTGTGAAATTGCTATTATGTTCTTGCTGTCAGGGTCATGGTTCCTGCAATAGTGTTTTTGAGCCTCTAATTTTTAGTCTATGAATTCTTTTTCGATTAGATGTGTTCCTTAAATGAAACATTGTTGAATTCTTCTTTCTCATCTTGTCTGCCAATCTGTCTTTTTATTGAGGAGCTGAATCCTTTTACATTGAATTTTATTGATAAAAGTTATTAACTTATATCTGTTATTGTTTTCTTTTCAGTGCTTGAAATTCCTTTAAATTTTGTTTAGCTACTTGTTTGGTGTGTTTATTCCAGCTGATTTTTTTCTTTGTTAGCTTCATTGTTTCTTTTTCACATTCTTTTTTCCTCAAATGCTTCTTTACTTGACAACAAGAAACAAGAAAGATGCATGATTCATCTCAGTTGTAGTTTTTTAAGATCCCAGTTTACTATGAAAGCCACCTTTTCTGATATCCATTTGAATTTGAAAATGAAATCACCTATATTTGCCAATAACATTCCTATTAACAAATCAATATTTACGGATACACATGTAATAAACTTTACAACTTTTTATCTTACTTGTTCATACCTAAGCCAATTTGTACTTAACATCCAGATTACATGAATGTGTAAAACTTCTATGCTCCTCAAATGCTAGTATGCTACCTTTTTCAAATGTTCTCTGTGGAAATAATTAAATTTTAGAGGAAAGTGGTTTAAGTGGGAGCAAATGAGCAGACCTCCTCATGAAACAAACTAGACAATACCAAAAGGTATTAAACCAACAATTCTACTAATGTCTTTCTTATCTTAAATATAGAAGATGTGATCAAAATACAGTGAACATTTAAAGAAAAAAATTACAGTAAGACAAACTTCCATGAATCCCCTTCAAAATACTCTCTATAGCTTCAAACACTCTTCTCCCAAAGTCCTACCCCTTTCTGAAGTAGTTCTGCAAACCCTCTTTCATGTCCTTACAAAATGTGATCAAAACTACAGTGACACTGCCACCAAATGCCATCCAATATAAAGGCAGCTCCTAGAGCAATGAATGTGTCTTTATTTACCTTATGCACCCAGTCTGGGCACCCTGTGACCTCTGGTTCATCCCAAAGTAAAAATGACCATTGAAAGGGAAACATTTTCCATCAACTCAGGACATTAAGGCAGCCAGGACAGCCCAACTACAGATATGCAGGAAAGATGACTTCAGAGCTGCAGCAGAAATGACAGGACCAATGGGACAAGTGTGTTCAGAGCAAGAGGGAGGCTTCTGAGAGGAGTTCATGGCACTTTCCTCTCCAGAGCCATTCACTGCATTCTCTGATCACACACATAAAATGTGCACCATGAATGTGTGTGAGCTAAAACACTGTTGATGTTGGTGAAGAGCTGCTGCAGATGAGCTGCTGAGACTCAGGCTGGGCCCGGGGAGAGATGCTCAGAGCAGAGCAGAGGGAACGATCCACCTTCACACAAAGTAGCACAGACTGTCCAGGTCCTCATGGGCTTAGAGGCTGACATGGGCTTTGGGGTCTTTTTTGCTCCACTGTGCTCTGTGTTGCTATTCTGTATTTGTGTGTTTCAGTGCTCTGTGAAAAGAATGAAGTGGGATGTTCGACCAGTCTAAGAATATTTATTATACTCCTTCATACCAAATCAAGCATGCTTATTTATGTATTCTTCTTCAAATTCAGCAGATTTGCACTTACAACAGTTTTTTTTTTAAAGGAAACAGCAAAGTCAGGTGGAGAAATAGGTGGGGACTGGGGCTTGAACACAGGCAAGGGCAGAGTTGGAATCGACGAGTATAGGCTGCAGCGGGGCCTGGCCAGCCCTAGCAGGCCTCCTCCAGGAAGGCTTTGCAACAGGGGATGCATTGCTGGTACACCAGATTGAAATCAGACTCATTCCTATAATAGAGATCTTCAGTGATGAGCTGTTTTTGAGGATCATAGCTCCGATGCAGTTCAATTTTAGCTTTGCAGTTTTTAACTTGATTACGTTTTCTATTCAAATCTCTCAGATTGTTTTCGTTCATACACAGGAAATAGCCGAAAGTTGCGAAGTCCTCTTTGGTGACCTGCCCGGCAATATGATTCATGGGGATGTCATGCTTCTTCATGCAACTCTGCCCTCAATAGTCAGGGGGTTTCCCACTTCATACGTAGATGTAGCTGCACTGTCTATCCTCCAGTTATCTGAAATGTTTTGATCAGTTACAAGTTTTTTGAATACTGCTTCTGAAATAGGCGACCGGCAAATGTTACCCAGATCCAGGAACAGCACTTACTTCAATCCAGATTCAACCATGTTCCCCTCTTTTTCTTATTCTTGAACAGAATTTGGAATGTTGCTTTGCTGTTTATGCATTTCTTAAGCTGTTCTTTGTTGTGGAACGTCCATATTTTAACATATGTTTTGAAAGTTTTGTAGGCTATCTTTGCTGGAAGCCATTTGCTGTTAGGACTTGAAATTTGTTACTTCAAGCATTCTAGCCTTTCAAGTTTATGGTGAGAAGTCTGTTGTAATCCTGATGGGTTTTTGCCTTCATACACATACATATTTATTTACTTATTTGACTTTTGTTTTTCTTATTTCACTGAGAGATTTTTAAGGTTGAGCATTTTTGTTAGACATCTGGGATTCTCTTTTTGTTGTTGTTTTCTAGGCTTTGTATTTTTTTTTAGGGAAGGGTCTACAGGGTGTTCAGGGTCTCACTACTAGATCATCTTCTTAGTGATCCGCCTGTTTACAGCCTCCCAAGAGCTGGGGTTACAGACGCACCACCATGCCCAGTCTCAGTCGCCCTCTCAGAGCGCCCCAGGGGTGGGGCCAGCACAGCAGGCCTGGGGAACAAACTCCTGGTTCGTGGCACTTTAATCCTCTGAGCTATCTGGCTGGCCCTCAACACTAGATCTATTCAATTTAAATAGGTTGTACTCTTCCACTGTGCTGGGAACAGAAAATTTGTATTGGTTATAACAGCATCAAGAGATCCAGTCATAACTCACTTATACATATTGAACCTTGTTTTTTATACTTTCACATTTATTAGCTGTCTTTACAGTCCATACTACTTTTTATGGGCAGGTACTATGCAGTGCAGTAAGAAGAAAAAAGGAAGGAATAGAGAAAGAGGACCATGAGTCAGTATGAGAAAAGGTAGACAGGAGTAGTTATAATAGAAAAAAGTTGAGCGATGTTCTCTGTTGGAGTGAATTTGTAGTTATAGTAAAGCATTATTTTGGGGGCTTTAAGAAGGTATTTATTGGGGCCTGGGTGGTTGTAGACAAAAGGGAAGTATAATTTCAAATTGAGGAAAGCTGCGAAGTTGTTAGAACCATATGTTATATTTGTGCCCATAAAAATAGAGAAGAGGTGAGGAGAGACAAGGGCATATGTAAAATAAAGAAGAGCAAAAATAATATTATAATGAGGGCAGAAGGATAATGCTAGGAATGAGAAGAAAGAGCAGAATGTAGACACAAATCTGTAAAAGAAAGATTTAAAAAGTGAAAGAGATAAGTGAAAAAATAGTATTAATATGGCATCAGGAATTGAAGAAAAGCAATGAGAAAAATATAACACAGAGAAAAAGGAAACAGACAACAATAATAACAATCAAAAAATCATCAGGACTTAAGAACAAACACTCCAATAAGAGAAAGCACAAGCAGTTTGCATGTGACCACCATGCATGAAGTCTGAGTTCACACAGCTCCTTTCCTGCTTTAGTTGAGCTATGCTTGAATGAAACCACAGAAGTTTCCTACCTGTCTATATATTGTTTGCAGTCCTGCCTGGGAGTGTTGAGAGTAACCAGTTTCTTGAAGCCCACGTACTTACGCAGACTATGCTTAGACAATGGTTAGCTGCAGTCTTTTGTCCCTATCCCGAGATCGAACCACCTGAAATGAGAATGGGAGGCTATGAAATCATTATCCCAACAATGATCTCCTTCACCTTCTGACACTGACCTATGAATTCTGTTTCCCTTGGTATTGGGTGAAGCTCCATGTTCTCCTCCCAGAGATTTCCCCAGTAGATTTTCATCAGTTCTCTGCCTCAGCCTACCCAGATTTTCCTTCACACTCACATCACAAACTAACCCTTACCCAAGAGCTCCCTTTCCAGTAAGAAGAAGCTGGTACAGTCCCCAGGCTAGGTTTAGAAAAACCCCCACACTCCCTGCACATGATGGTTATCACTCTACAGGATTTCCTTCTAACTCAGATTGTACCAGTCTGTGGAAATGGCAGGGAGGAGCTCACTCTTGACCCACTGTTCAGGCTCACACCCTCTCTTCTGCTTGTAGTCTCAGCAGGATGTCATAGTTCTCTGCCTACACTGGTGGGGGCCTTCCTTTGCCAACAGTGAACTCTGACGAGGATGCTTCCAGGATGAAGTCAGTGTTCCTGGTATTGGGGAAGAGGATGGGGAGAAGGGGATGATATTCGCATAGTGTGCCAGTAGTCTGGCCTCTGAAGAGATAGCTCATTTTCTCAGTTTATTAGGATGAATTTCTATATGGCTGCTTCCCAGAGAGAGCAGGGAGTAGGGGTGGGATGGTTGGGAGTAAGGGTTGGGGTGGTATGGACAAACCATGGTGGTGACCCTTCCCCTTCTCAAAGATCCAAATATTTGGTTTGATCTACATGGACCATTTGCCATTTGGGGCTCAGATTGGCTGTCTTGTTCCAGAGTACCTGTGCTTTGTGTGACTTTTCTCTGAGTATCTCTGTTGTGAGATCTCCTCTAGTACACCATGTTGGACAGACATTTGTACTAACACAAGAGGTTTAGAATTTGGGTTTCTTAACATGTTGGGCTATGAATACTCACTCATTTACTAAATTTAAAATTCATATAAACTTCTAATATAGTGGTACTGTCTTTAAAGAGTATATTCATAAGTAGTGCACTGAGTTTTAGCCACTAAGTCTATTGTTTAGACTTCCCATGATGAGTCTTTGTGACCATTTCTAAAACCATGATTCCAAAACATTATATAAACACTTGAAGTAGCAAAGAAAAAAAAAAAACTAAGCTATTTTATTTTCTTCACAAAGCAAATTCCTGTAGAACAACTTGACATGGAATGCTCTTGAAATGTAGCATTCTTAACTTGTCTATGTTTGGTATCATTGAAGGGAAATCAACCTGAGGCTGACCAGTTATAGTGACATGATACCGTTAAATGAATTTTCTTTTGGAAATGAAAACTGTACTGTAAGCTATAATGACTCTCAAATATCATTTAAAGCAGATGCTTTTTAAACTCAAGTGTACGTAAATAAGTGACTAAAAAAATCCAAAGTTATGATAGAAAGCAATGTATCCCAAAACATTGACCCATCTGTGCACTCCCCTCATGTCTTAAGACCACCAAAATTAGAAAATATGATACTGCTTAAATTTCATTTTAAAAATGAGGGGCTGGGGGCATAGTTCAGCAGCATAAATGCCTGCCTGGCAAGGACAAGGTCCTGAGTTCAGTCCCTATTACTTAAAAAATAAATAAATAAATACATATATAAAATTAGACACCTGCCATTAAGTCTAGGTAGAATAAATAGGAATGTGATCATTAAACAAGCTGCCCAGGACATTTCCATGTATGCTACATCTTGAGAATCATTGATTGAGAGAACTGTATTTTTGTGCTATGTAATAATTTTATATGTTCACATGGGCTGTGAAGGTGGAACATCTGCTTTCTGGATATGAAAATAATACCCACATCACATAGATTTAAAATGCAAACCACATTTAGTAATATTTCCTTTTCATTTAGTCATGTTTTCTAAAATGCTGGAATTCTGTTTATAAGATAAAAATTGTGATTTCAAAAACTGGAAAGGGTCTGAGATTTTACTCTCCTTTTAGCTAGCTAATAATCCTACAAGAGCTTTAAGGCTGTTGGTAGACGGGAGTTTACTAGATCAGAAATTTTAGAATAGGAAGCTTATCCTAGATTATCCACATGTACCTACTTGAATTACACTACTCCTTTAAATTCAGGAACAATTCCTAGATAGCTTCAGAGAAAGATATGTAAAGACTAAATCAGGACCAGGTAAGATAAGTGCTACTTTACTAGATTTGGAGATAGAGGAGGGCGCCATAAGCCAAGGAATGAAGACATTCTTTTTTTTCTTCCTTTTTAAATTAATTTTAATGAGAAAGAAATAGCAATGAGACAGTGTCAAAACAAGTTAGTAGGACAGTTATAATAATTAAAACATTGTGTACTATCTTCATAGTAGTTATTCATAGTACAAGATGAAGACATAATATCTTGTCTAAACACTATTAGCACAAATCTTCTAATTGAACTAAGAGAAAGTAGCTGTATATCTACCCTAACAATTTTATGTATAATATTTTTGTATATTTCACTAAAAAATGGTCCTTCATTTATATTCCCCTTTTTTGTTTTGTTTTGTCAGAGATAACTGTTCCATTGCCATTAAATGTTATAGGTGCTTGAATTTAGAAAACTCAAAAAGGTAAAAAAATTAATTTTACTAGAGCTAAGACAGCTCCAGTAACACTTCAATTTTTTTCCCAGAAAGACCTATATTGATGTTCTTCAAGGACTGCAACATAATGTTTAGCATGTGTTTAAACCACTAAATCTATGGTAATTTCTCTGAATGGTAATATAAAATTAATCTAAGACTATTAGGTTTTTTTCCAGTTTCCCATGCTCCAATTCTCTGGAGGCTGATGCAAGGAAAGCCAGGATCAGGGCATTTAGAGGAGAAGAACCTTGAGTCAGCATGCCTGTCATTTGGTCCAGAGAAACACTCTGCTTTCTAAGGTTGTTTGTAATACCAACATCCTTGATAAGATTATCTGAAACAAAAAGCTATTGGTGTCTCTTTTGCAAGATGTGCAGAAACGTGGGAGACCCATGGAGAACTCTCTCCCAATACAGTGTCACCAAATTCCTTATTGCAGTATTTTTTCAACATCATGGATTATCATAATTCAAATGAAGTGATTGTTTTATAGCATAAAAATATGTTAACATTAACTGCAGTTGATATGGCATATAAAAAATATCTGTTAATGAAATGTAAAAGAATAAAATCCATTATTATTAGATGAAAATTAATATGAGTATGTTCTACATTTGTCACATTTTTAATGATAAACACGCAGGTCTGTACTTTCATTCCTGAAATTGCCACAGGTAAGAGAATTTTCTTATTGCTAGTTTGGTGCTTTTTAAACCATAAAAATACTTTCTCACTCTAAACAGTTATTTTTATTATGGACT